TTAGACATTGTGTCCTTTCTGCATTTCTTGAGAAAAAAGGAACAAGTGTAGGTACAAGAATCAGCCCTCAGTGGTTCACAATAGCCAACTATGTATATTGTTTTTTCCCTAACACTGCAATTCAGCAACATCAGGTTAATGGCTTGAAATGGGCCATGGTAGGGGTATATATACAACAGAAACTAACAAACACCACAAATTGGGGCCTTTTGTTTTTCTTTTGGAGCATTATTTGTAAACATTTACCAGCACCCATTACAACCCAGGAATCAGCTGTATACCTTTTACCAATTCAAATGTCAGGCCAAGATAACAATTACTTTAATTAAAACAATGATTATGTTTTCTTTGGAATGACTTCTGTTTTTAATGAGAATTTATACTAACAATTGGTTTTTGTTAGACTTAAGGGTACTGCACTGTCTGCCATTTAATTTTTCAATGTATTTAAGCCACAGACACTCAGAAGGCATGTTGTATTTCTTCAGCAACTTTTATAGAGAGTGCCCCTCACTAAGAGCTGCTGGAGCTAGCATTGTTTAATGTGCGGTTTAAATTCTATCTCATTTATAGAGTCAGGATGTACTACTAATCCATGACTTAGAACCTGACAGCTTTATCGAGCATCATTACAGCTGTGCTTTTCAGTCTGTTGATCTCACTCATCTCTGACTTCCTACATGCTAACTGGAAAAGACATTAGCAATGACATATTTATGCATGTAGGCAGAGTTGATCAATCCATCTAGGCTGTGGGTAATGCTGACTAAGGCACACCAGGTAAATAACTTAGAGGCTGTAAACTGAAATCAGAAGGGACTGCAGGCTCTGATTTTTATCATCTCAAATGGCTTCAGTATCACCAACAACCAGTGTGGCAAGAGTTTTGGTCTAGTTGCACAAGGATATTTGATAGCATTTGATAGCATTTTTCTTATTCCATCCAGCAGTAAAAATTATTATGGGAATGAATTTTCAAGTATTACATGAAAATAAGAAAGCAAAGGGTTGGGAGAGAGAGAGGGACAGAAAGAGGGGGAGGACAGAAGACAGGCAGGCCAAAGAACTTCAATTTCTAATAAGAGCTACAGATTACATTGTGCTTACTATGCCAGGCTTTACATGAGCTTGTTGGTTCTCCCGACTGTATGAGTAGCACTACAAATATTCTCATCCTCACTTTACCACATGAAGGATCAAAGCCAGGGAGAAAATAAGTAACTTACCCACTGTCACTCGGCCAGAGTTAGTGGTGGACTGGGTTTCAAGCCCAGACAACCTGTCCATGGTCTGTGCTCTTGAACACTACCACTCGCTGCCTCTGGTTGGACCATTCCAATCAGATTTTGGTTTCTCTCTCTGGGGAAGTCCAAACTGTGTCTCACTTCATCAGATAACACTTTTTATTATCTTCAAGTAGTACAGTGGAATGAAAGAGAAGATCTAAAGATACCTGGAACTAAGTATTTTATCTTTTTTATTCTAATGTAGAAAAAAGGAGGCTTTTAAATTTTCAAGAGCACAGAGGTACAAATGCAATTTTGATAATATCAAGATATTTAAAACCTCATTCTGTGTTAAGTTTTTATTTATTAAAGGCTTTTCTATCAAGCCAAGTTTTGGTGACAAAGTCACATTTGGACGTGTTTTCTACTTGGCTCAAAGTTCCACAGGGACAGTTGTTGAGAAATCTAGCAGTTCAAAGCTGCAGCAGGTGTATGGCTTCTGCTTCACTGGATTTTAACACAAATTTTATGTCTCAGTTTATGTAAGAGCATGTTGATTAGCTCTGTCTTGGTAACTGAATGAACAAGAGAACTGCTCATCCACATAATCAAATCTGTTCATAAATAAGCGAGCTGTTTTAACAGTCCCTTGCATGCTGTTAAAAACAAAGATCACTCTAATCTAAAGGTCCACCCTCACACCTTTCCATAGTAGAGGGATGTTTACCTACCCACCACCATGGACTGCTACTGCTCAGGAAAAGAATCATCATAAAGATAAATCCATGAACTGGAATGTGTGCATTATATTCATAAATATTAAAACATAACTGAAATTTTAAAGCCAAGGATATAGAAAATAAATCAAATAAGAACAGATATTTTGAATTCCTTTGGGGCTTCTGTAACTTCAGAACTACTATGTATGAAGCAGCTTGGATTTAGGTTTAAAGCTCAAAAAGATGGGTCAGTAAATTATTATTATAATATTTTGAGTTTCCTTTCCTAGCATATAAAGTCACATGTCACACTTGGAGTTGTTCAAAAAGTAAGTGCAAAAATCCTTAAAAGATTTTGATATATGATGCATGGAAGATGGCATCTATGTCTTGAGTTAAAGCATTCTATTTAAAGTGTTCATCAAGTTTATTCCAATAAGCAAGATATCTCATAAAATTCTCATATCGTTTATATGCCAACATTGTTATTGCAAAATATTCCCATACGTCATTGCTTTATTTTCACACCAAAATTGCATTTGCTCAGTCAACATGGTATATCTTCCTGGTACCTACTTCCCAACTGCAGCCTACTTTGCTATGTCATGTTTAGCTAACAATCTGCAACCCTATCTTCCTGTAGAAATTTTGTCCACTCCTCAGGGTCCAGTCTAATGAAATTCTTCTCTGAACAAATAATAAAGGAGAATTTCCCCAATCTGGCAGAGGAAATAGACTTCCAGGAAATCCAGGAAGCTCAGAGAGTCCCAAAGAAGTTAGACCCAAGAAGGAACACACCAAGGCACATCATCATTACATTAGCCAAGATTAAAATGAAGGAGAGAATCCTAGAAGCAGCAAGAGCTAAGGGGACAGTCACCTACAAAGGAGTCCCCATCAGACTGTCAGCTGATTTCTCAGAAGAGACCTTATAGGCAAGAAGGGGCTGAAAAGAGTTATTCCAAGTCATGAAATCCAAAGACCTACAACCAAGATTGCTCTACCCAGCAAAACTTTCATTTAGAATGGAAGGACAGATAAAGTGCTTCTCAGATAAGATCAAATTCAAGGAGTTCATCATCACCAAGCCCTTATTATATGAAATGTTAAAGGGACTTATCTAAGAAAAAGAAGTTAAAAAAACATGAACAGTGAAAGGACAACAAACTCACAGTTATTAACAACCACACCTAAAACAAAAGCAAACTAAGAGGATAGCTAGATCAGGAGCAGAACCATAGAAATGGAGATCACATGGAGGTTTAAGCAACAGGGGAGTGGGAGAAGGAGAAGGGGGGAGAAGGTACAGAAAATAAGTAGCATAGACGGTAGGTAGAAAATAGATGGGGGGAGGGCAAGAATAGTATGGGAAATATAGAATCTAAAGAACTTGAGACACATGGTCATAAACTAAAGGGGGGAATGGTGGGGGAGGAGTGTGCAGGGCGGAAGGGAATGAAAGGGAGGAATAGAACAACTGTAATGGCATAATCAATAAAATATATTTTAAAAAAGAATATCCTTCCCCTACAGCCAGAATTACTCAGTCCTCCCTTTAAACTCTCTTTCTTCATGAGTTCCCTATCAAACTAACTTTCCCATCTCCATTGTGCCTAAAACTGCACCTTGCTTATGGCAGAATGATTATTTTAAATTAATTCATCTTAATAAATGAGTAACAAATGAGTGAATGCACCTGAAACTGTTTAAACTGTGAATTAGCGTCAATTAACTAATGAAATTTCATTTAGTTTACAAAATAAAAACTATAAGAACATTGTTTTTTGACTTTGAGAAACTATGCTTTGTCAGCACACAATCCCTGACCATGTCCAACAAAGTTAAACAAATGTATCAGCTAGAAAACTATTGTTATATTTATCTGTGAGTCAGGACAACAGCAAATGCTTACGATCTTTGGTCTAGTACTGGGAAAGCAGAAGCAGAAATGTAGGGGCAAGGACAAAACCATTAGGAATAATTCTCTAGCAAAAACCAGTGAGAGCAAAAGAACCATCCTTCAAGGGGCTGTATAAAACCATCCTACAGCAGATGCGCAGCTGGCCACTGCTGGACAGGGTGAGAGGAGGAAGAAAATGGTTGTATCCACAGTTTTTAAGAGAAGTGCATAGGATCAACTATAGTATATGAGAAGAAATTGAAAGAGAAGTGCCTTTTTGTTGTTTTTGTCGTTTGTGTTGTTTAAGAGGCATTCTGTGGTCTTCAAGTCCCACCCTCTTCCTGGGAGTTGAGAGATGCCAGTAAAGGACTGATGCTTTTGAAATGACGTTTTGGTTAGGAAGTGGTGCTTCTTGCTTGTGCACCATAGAAAGACTGAAAGACTTGGGACAACACTTTATTCAGGTATGAACTGCCTGAACAAGGCCACAAAGAAGCACATGGAAGCAAATATAGAAAAGCAGTCTCATTTCCTTAACTGGCACAGACTTACACATTACCCCAGAAACCCCCAAATACACAGACAATCTCAGGCTGCTATGAAGAAAATTGGCAGATGAAACTATACCTGCTTTTTTATTTACTTTATTCTACACATTAACACCATAGTGAGTTTTCCAGGAAGGTATATTTATTTTAATTGCACCTTCTCTGAAACACAAAGAGGCAATAATGGGTTTTTTTCCCCTTGTGCTTGGGATTTTGAAAGGAATTCTAAAACTAATTCTCAGTCTTATGCAAATTTCTCTTAATACCTAAATACTAATATGTATACCTGAAAACAACTATTTTTCCATAGTTTTCTTCAACTAAAGATTTATAGTGCCATGTGTAGTATACTGACTCCCACGGTGCAGGTCCTCAACCAATACGTGTTTTATTTATATTTTAGGACTGTATCAGTTCTTCCCAAGAAAACTGTCTAACCAACTTGGCTGCTTGTTTTTAAGGATTACACTCCATCTGTAATACAGACATTGCTCCTGAACACAGTCAGGCTGTTTTTCACCTTAGCCATCACTTCTTGGCCAAGAAGTGTGTGCCCCTTCTTTCTTCCCAGAGCATAATTCACGGTATCATCTTTTCTGCTCCTCAGTCACCTCGGAAGATGGCTGTTCTGTGGATCTTGGCTTTCGAGTTGATATTGAGAAAAAAGGTTTCTACACGGAGAATTTCCACTCAGCAGCGTGGGTTTTTCGAGGGGATGATGGGAATCCTGAGGACAGTCCCAGATGCCTCAGTAAAAAACCCCGGCCAGTAGCTGGTAAGGACTCTACAATTATGATAAAATGAATATGTAAGTCTCAGCGATTCTGTGACCAGACTCCCATCCAGTCTGAGAAGTCCACAAACTCACACACTGGCTTTAGCATTTGGAGAGAAGTATGTGTGCATATACGTGTGTGGATGTATATATAATTTATTAATATTGTGAAAGAATCTGAAACTATTAAAACAAAAGCTGTCTTAAGAGCTCATTCAGACACAGAAAGTAATTTCAAAGTTGGAGTAAAGATTAATGGAGGAAGAGTCAAGTCTATTTCATTCTATGAGTAGAAAAATACTATTTTTTTTAAATATGCTGGAGAGCATGAACAAGTAACAGATTATCATTTATTGTTCCAACACCAAAATATAACCATTTCATTGTTTCCTCATTGTCTTTTTATTATACATTGGTCTAGTCCTGTTTTTAAACATGTATGAAATATGCATTTGATATTACCATGTATATCAAATCAAGTTTGATATGTAAGATTTATAGCCTACATTTTACATTTAGTAATATAATTTTCAATAATTATACTTTCCTTTAATAATATAAATATTTTCATGTGTTTTGCAGATTCCATTAACATTCTAATAGTTTCATGATGTTTTTATAACATTAATTATTAGTTTACCAAGACTATATAATTTCTTTAGTGCAATAATAACTTAATGAATTTTTAAAATACACCTAAATTAAAAGTCTAGCATGTGAAATTATTATTTCAGTTTAATCTTTGCTGTAAAATTTGAGGTGTACAACTTTTGTAAATATCTCTATCAGTATAAATAAATGGCTTTGATTAGAAGTAAACAATTTAACTCCAGCAAGCAAAGATTCAAGTTGTAAATAACATTTTAAATTAAGTATACAATGATTCATTCAACAAACACAATACCTACTGTGGTCCAAGAACTAGGGGAACTTGCTGAAAACACAAAGAGAGAAATTATGAGTTTGATAGTTCTACAAAGAGGTACTTAACATTTTCAGTACAAGCATCAAAATTATCCCCTTATCTACAAATGTTTATAGGCAGCCAAGAACAGGCATTTGGTTAATTCACTATCATTTGCTATGTAAAAAAAAAGAAAAGAACTTGTTCAATTTTGCTAAAAGTTTTCATAAGCACACACATATGCATACACATATGTACATATATGCACATATATAAAGTGCTTTTATGTTGCAAGTGAGTTTTATGGTAGTATTTATTGCATTGAACCTCAGTACAAGAGTGTGCTAGTTGTTCTTATTGCTACTAAGACTTGAAGTGTTACATATATAAATTCCATATGTTCTTAACAAGGTGATATTGAGAGATTAGTAAAGAAAGTCGAGATTGGGAGGAAAGGTGATTTGTAGACAAATCAATAATTTTAAAACTAAAAATATTTTTTATTAACCTAATGGCATTTTGAGATATTGTGATAATAATTTATATATACCAGCATGTATTTTTTTGAAAATAAATTTTACACTTTAAAAATACCCATTCCTAATCTCCTAAGAGAGCTCTTCTATGAGTTGGAGAAATAGATAAACAAAGGTTGCATCGCTGCAAAAGTGCATTGCTGGAGCCACAAGAAAACTTTAGGGTATTTTCATTGTATGATTGCTGTTGTATTTATGGAAATATTTACCCTTCATCTGAACTTTCACATTTAACAAGATGATTCCAAGGTAGTGTTATTTGAGGGGATAAATTACCTGAAGATGTGACCACATAGTCTCTGAAAAGACAATGACATTTATTTGTGGCTTTTCAGCAGCAGCCATGTGGCACTTGTAGATTATCTGCCAGACAGTGGCAAGGGAAACTAGAGCTATAAATCTTAAAGTATGAGGAAATTGTCTGAAGAATGTTGCAAAATATTTTGTTTCTTCTCCCATAGGAGAGTGCTACAGTTGAGCTCACGATTTAATGACTTTATTGAATTGTTTATGTCTTAACAATCTCATGTAATATAAAGAAAACAACAAACATGATTTGAATTGAATCAATACAGTAAAAATACTCCATTAAACAAATATCTGCTGGGTGATCAATATGTCAAAAGCAGAAGACATTGTTAAGAGGGTAAGCTAGAGAGAGCAAGAAGTTTGACAAATGCGAAAGTTAAAAATCATTTCTACAAAGGTCAGAAATAGGGTTTCTGATTTTCTTTTTTGCCCTGATTATCTTCCAGCCTATTGAGGACTGTTAAAATATTCATTTCTGTAGCTTTGAAATTCCCAGGTCTGCTTCTTAAATTATACTGATATCTGGTAAGTGGCAGTCTAAACAGTCAAGTAAAATGACTGCCACATGTAAATTGTCTGTTCCCAGGAACACTGAATAGATCAGAGGACATAATTTAAGGGCTGGAATAAAATAATAACCTCATGGCAACTTTGGTATGCTTTTTCTGATTCTGTTTTCAACAGCAGAAAAACAGTTTATTTTCTCCAGATATTTTGGAAAGAATACATTCCTTCAGGAATCCACATGAAGAGACTTTATCCTTCCTGTCTTTGAATGTTTGCCAATTTTGACATCCAGCATCTCTCATGTAAACTCTAGGAGAAGAAGTCTTGTCTGTCTCCAGCACAGCCATCCTAGTGCATAGGAACACACCTGGGCATACAGTAGATACCCCATAAATGTTTGTGAATGAACAACTTCTGCTGCTAGACTACAGTGGATCATTAAAAAGAGGTGTTTTTTTCCTTGTTTTTATCAGATTTTTTGTTTCTTAGCTGACAAAGGAGATGGCCACATCCAAGCACATTTGTACAGATTGAATAGACTTTGTCATTTCTAATAGGAAACTTAACTTTTAAAAAGTATTGATTTATCCCAAAATATCTGGGAGAAATTTTAATAAAATAATAGCAAAACTTCTTACAAACTCTGCAAAATATAATGTAAATTTATAATAATAATAATACATCTCCAAAGACTATGGACTGGCTCAACTAGACCATCTGTGAGAGATGACAAAGAAGAGATTTCTCACCAAGGGGAAGCTGGACTAAGGTCCTTTCCAACAAAACACAATTGCTATCTTAAATTCTTAAGATTTCCTTTGACCTCTTGACTGCTTCCAGTTATATCCACATTTCCTCTACACTACACATTCTGTAACAGTCTTTGGATATGTACCCAAAGAGGATGCAACCCCACAAAGAAGTGTTCTTGATACCCCACCCAGAAGATATAAACCTGTCTGAGAAATGAGAAGTGAAACACAAAACTATAAAAGGCAGATGAAAAAGAAGTAGCAAAACATGTTAATCATAAAATCTAATGTGTCCCTATTTTTTATGAAAAGGTATTCTATTAAATTATAACTTTAAGGTGTTAATTTACCCTGCCTTTATTAATAGATCAGCATTCTTTTTTATCATTAATTACCTTGCTTTTCCCAGAGACCTGGTAATAGGACTATTACTAATAACTTCACTTCCAAGACTCAGGAATTTTATTATTGTAGTTTATTATGATTTATTTTTATCATTTAAAGACATTTATTAACAAATAAAAGAAAAATTGACCAATAGAGTATGCCAATCTAAAGGCAGCAGGAGGAAAAGGGCGAGGGACATGTAAAAACAGACTGAGAAATGGCTGAGCGACACTAATTAAACATCGCTGAACTAAGCGTAAAAATCCACATATTCTTACTGCGATGTCTCTGGAACTCTCCACCTTCAATCCAGCACAATTTTACAGTTACAGTTTCTGCAAAGCTCAGCTATTTCTGCTTTTTTCAGAGAAGCTCAGGTGTTCAGGTTTTCCTGAATTTCTATAAGACCTACATGTATGGATGAGAATTCTGTTTTCTTATTTCCATGTATAATCTTGAAATAAATGTCCCATTATTTATGGATCTGAGTGGCTCAGACCTGTAAGGCTCAGCTGCCCTTGGGGAGTCATACTGCCTGGGAGTAGTCAACAGCACCTCTTACTTACTGTGCAACTCAGGGGAGTTGTTTAACCTCTCTGTGCCTCAGTTTCCTTCTCTCCAAAAAAACAAATAAACCAGTAATTATAGGCTAATCAGAAGATTAAATTAGATGACACTTGAAAAACACTTATAACATTTTTATTAGGCCCAGCATGCAATAGCTGAGTAATAAATACTAGCTACTTCTGTAATCATACTTATAGTACCTAAAGTTTAACTCAAAAGAATGCCTTCTTTGCTTCCTCCGTAGTCCGAGAGCGCACAGTGAGGCTCTTCAAAGGAACTGGCGATTATCCCTGGGGCTTCCGAATTCAATTCTCCAAACCAATTGTGGTAACAGAAGTGGATGCTAGTAAGTTGTCTCACTATAGCAGCTGTAATTCAGACCAGACTACTAAATTGCCTTGGATATCATAGTCCGGTAAAGCACACATATGCAATAAAAGCAATATCTAAATCTCAGTCTATCAAAGACTCCTGGTGATTGACAAGTGTCCACATATCATGATCAGATGTTTTTAGAAGACGTGCTTTCCTGATGGAAAATACTCTTCCTGGTATGTATAGGACACTGGCCTCCCTACCAAACAATGGCCCTACCCGCATCTGTGGAGATGGGGCTCAAGCTCTGGAGGTAAGAAGGATGTTATGCTTAGGCCGTTGCTGCAGATGTTTTAGTATTTAATAGTTTCTGGGAAGAGTTCCATTCCTCCTAAATTATTTCCTGAAAGCTTCTCAGATTGTCCTATTTCCTAACAAGCAATTGAGAATTAGCTAATGCCTAATGAAAGGTGGATCCTTTACTTTCTGATCTATAACATAAGAATAATTGCAGATGAATAATTTGAAAAAAATTAGAGTCAGAACAGGAAGATTGACAGGAATATACAATAAAGATGTCTGCACCCAGCATGGTGCATTAGTTGAGGCCCACTGAGTTTTTCACAGAGGGAGGCCCAGGACCACTGGGGGGTATCTCAATCATGTGGCAGTACTCATCTGGGTGGCATGTTTTCCAAGGTCAGAAACTGTATCTTACTCATTATTTTATCCTCAACACCTTGTGCAGTATCCCAAAGGTAAACAGAATAGATGCCCCCAAAATGCTTATTTGAGGGACTGGGAGAGCCCTGGGTACCTGAGGATGGGGGAAGCATGGGGCAGATGGAGGGGAGGCGTATTTCCCTTCCTGTTTTGTCCCAGTGCTTTCATTTTTTCTCTGGTGCCATTTTCATCCAGGGTCACATTTCAGTTTGCTTTGCTTGTCAGAATTCAGGTGTCCCTGAATTAGACATTGTATGCACTATGATTCTCCTGGGAATCGGCTGTCATATCTGTAAAGAAGTGGTTGGCTACTCAGCCCAGCATTTCAGTCAAAGGTGATGCCAGTGGATAGAAAACAAGGTGCCCAGACAATGACCTGCTTTTTATATGAACAGAATTCTCTAATCTGTTCTTGTTCGTGGGAATAGAGGAAAGAAATATTGAGTCCCTGGGTAAAAGTGAGATATTCCTGGTACAGCAAAAAAGCTAAGTTCTATAGTTTTAGGACCCATCCTAAAGAAACTTCTTACAGGTTACACTTATGCTAGGTGAGCAATGGCACAGATTTTGTCTCATACTGTAGAGGCTTAGTCTCTTCAAAGTGTGAAGAGATTGTCTAAGTACTAAGTAACCTGGATATCTATTTCACATTCATGGATGTTTATAAAGAAATTAGTTTACTTATTTATCATACCAAATACTAATTACATTTCCTTTAAATATAAGTCATGCGATGTCACAGAGAGGAAAGAAACTTACATTCATTGGACACCTATTATGAGCAGAGCATTTTATATATGTTCTCCCATGTATCTATATAGCAGAACTTGAAGCTTCATATGACCACTTTTATTTAACAGATGGGTTTAGTAAAGCTCAAAGTGGTTAAATGACTTGCCCAAGGCTACACAGCTATGCCATGGCAACTCCAGAATTTGGATATCAGAATTTCTCCCTCCAGAACCAGTTGTATCCCTATGACTTCTGTCAGTTAGGACTCTCTGTTGTAACTGAGAAGAAATCTGGCTCAAAATGATCTAAGAAATGAAAGGGGTTGATTGACTACAAAAGTTGATGTTTCTGAGACAGCCCGAATGCTTGATTTATTTCCAGGGTTCAGTTATTTCATCAAAGGCTCAATTTCTTTTAGCACCTTGACTCAGACTTTTTTGATGTTACAAACTTCCTATTTGGACCCCAAACAATCTCGGCTGTTTTAACATTCCTTCACACTTCAGAACTGTAAAGACAGATGGAACCGGCTTCAAATGTCCTCATGTGTATCAGTGTCCCCTGGGGACCCCTGTGAGCTGTTTCATGAGCCAGATGCAGGGGGAAACACATTGTTCAGACTGTTAGTAGGAAACCTGGCCCACCCTGGACCTGAGGGCAGAGTAATGCTTTCATGCCTTCCCCGAGCGACCACAGAACAAGAAGAGATGGAGAAGATATGAGAAGACCTCAAGGCACTCTACACATATCCTCAAGTCATACCGACAAGGTGTCACTCTGCGCCCAAAGAGTAATAAACAAGTCACACAAACAAACCATCACTCACATATACAAAGGTGTGGTTTTGTCTCTTCTCGATGGAATATTTCTTCCATCTAGTCACATTTTTAAAAAATCCTGTTATTCTTATCAAAGAATTGCTTTTGCATTTGCATGACTTAAATAGACCTAGTTTATTCTCAATTGCTAAGAATAATGTATTCAATACATTCAAAATCATATCAGCTCTTCTTAACTATACAGTAGAACTGACTCAGATATCTAATAGTTATGGTTGAACAGGGTTCAATCAGTGTATTATATAAAATAATGTTTTCTCAGTATTCTCCATTAAGCTTACCTTGAAGATTCTTTTTTCTGTGCTGCGGGTGAGTTCTAGAATGGATCTTAATTTCTTGTAGTCTCTCTTAGACCATAAAAGCATTGTTGTTTTCTCATTAAAGGTTAAGTGCAATCTAATAATTATAGAACTACAGGTCAGTCTAGTGTAATAATAGAAATTGCTGAATTCTTATCCAATCTTGAGTTTCTCTCCTCTCCCCAGCTTGAGCCTGTCTCAGTCTTGTAAGCTTGGATTATGTTCTTCAGAGTCTCTCATCTCCATTTTCTATTCATCAGAAATCCCACCTCTATACCTTCAAATGTACTCACGTTTTTATCTGTTCCTCCTTCCTCCTTTTCCAATTGAAGGTCAGTCCTTATATAGAAAGAAACTTAAGAACACCTAGGATGGGGGAGAGCAATGGGGTGAAAATGGGGACTGCTGTAATTTCACAACAATAAAAAATAAATAAAAATAAAAGGGAAGAATGCCTAAATTAATGGCAGAAAAAACAACTGCATCATTTATAAATCTTAATATTTAAAGATGTCGATTCTTCCTTAAATTGATCTGTAATTAATCTCAACTAAAACTCTAGAAAATTAGGTGTTTTAGCTTTTGCTTTTGTGGTCATTTTTTCCAGTTAGATTCTAAAATACTTATAGAAAATCAAATGGCCAAATTATTTAGCTGAAAATTCTTTCATCCAGGGAAAAAGCCTTTATTCTGACTTAGATTATTTTTTTGTCTTTAATTTTTTTATTTACTTATTTTTCAAGTACAGTTTTCTGTCTGTTTCTCCCATCCCAGCCCACCCCGCCCCGTGCTCCCACCTCCCTCCCATTTCCACCCTCCTTAGTTCTCATCCCTGTGTCCTTCATACTTGTTCCTCCAAATCCCTCCCCCTTTTTCCCCTTAAATTCCATTCCCTCTCCCCTCTGGTCACTGTCCCCTTGTTCTCTATTTCAGTCTGACTTAGATTATTAAAATGCATATGCATGGATATATTTTTACTTTGATGTGAATAAGTTTCAATTAAAGTTTAATCAGTCAATCAAATATATAAATGATGATTTAACAAATAATCCTCTTGCTAAGGGAAGGGCATGGGAAGGGAGTTCACCCAAATGTTGGTGGGATGTGGAGGTGGAAGAGTGGACTCCAGACCAGAAGGGGAAGGATAGGAAAAGAGAAACATGATGATAGAACTTGGGTGACAAAAGATAAAGATTCCAAATTTTGTCCAGGATCAATGTTACTAGTGCCCTTCAGATTAACAACAATGGAAAACAATTGTGGGTTAATTATTTCTTTATAGACACAAAGACAGTCAACTCTTATCATAAAGAGGGTTCTCATTCTTTCCTATGTTTGTAAAATACATTGAGCTTTAAGGAAATAAATGTTTATTCATGGGGAATGTATTCATGGATGTTTCACACCTTACCACTCCACTTTCTTTTCTCCCCTTCCTCCTCTTGCCATTTTTCTCTTCTCTTTCCTTTTTCCTTTTCCCTACTCTCCTCTTTCTGCTTCTTATTTTGAAAAATTAGTCATAAGCAAAGAAATAAGATAAACGACTGCCCTTCTTTTCTAAGAAATTCCAATAGGTCTGACTTTATAAGTTTGGCAGATTTTTCCAAAATATCCAAAACCTTGACAAATTTTGTGTGCCTGTCATTCTAGATAAAACAACTAAATGCAATTTAATAAAATGTTATGATTTCTCCAATTTTTTATATCTTTGTAACCATTCAGCTGAAAATTAACTGTACCTCATCTATTCAAAAGTGAAACAAATAAAATTATTTGCACTGCAATGACTTTGTACTTAGGAGGTTTTGTAATAGGAAAAGCTGAAGCATGTCTATTGTAGCAGAAATGGTAAAATACATAGTTAACCTAGGATTTTATTCAATATCAGAAAGTGCTGCCCTGGCAGGGATTCATGTAGCGGCTGAGTCTACTTCTCCTTTTAAAAATGTATTTCTCGATGCTGAAGAACAACCTCTGAAACCCATTGTCTAGTCAAATCTACTAAATGAGTGGTTGAGGGGCTTTAAAATTACACATATTTTCAGCACTTCTGAGAATCTCATTCGCACCACAGAACATTGTTCTGGAAGCACTAGAGAGGCTTAATTACACACTGAAGATAAAAGGATAAAGCGGGAGACATGTAGGTGGGATGGAAATGATTATCCATAAGTATACAGAGAGGGAACTTGCTTGCAGCTTACATAACTTAATTGCCCACACTCAGCTGGCATTTGCATGAAGATTTTCTATGAAAGCCCAAATGTTTGTGAGATCTGTTGGCATAAACAAAAGAACCAGATGTTCCAAGGAAACTATACATTTAGGGGTGGGCAGACCATAGAAGAAATTATGGACAGGCCCGTGTTTCTGGAAGCTCTAGAATTTAAAATGCTACTGTTATAGTGCATTTTTTAAATGAAAAGGGCGGGCCCCTTTTTAATTATAAGGTTTTCAGATTCTGTATTATGTGTAAATATGCATGAAAGGATGAAGTAGCTCAGCATTTAACTCTTTATTATAAACACGCAACTACAGACTCAAGTATCCTTTTGAGGAAACAAACAGAAAATTACGGTCTTGTTTTTCTATCATCTGATTCCTTCCTGTGCAATGTAGGATGCATGCTTTCCTATGTTCCCAAGACCAAGTAGGGCAGCCATCTGTGTGGTGAGTCACAGGGTCACTTTGAAGTAGCTCCCTCCTCCAAGATGTCCTAGCGCCTCAAATTTCTACCATAGTTAAGTAGATAAAGGGAGAATTTCTAGGCCACATTAGAAAATAGAACACAATTAGTACCCTCTATAATTAAAGCTAAAAACAATAAAGTAAACTATAAAGAAGAGTTGCACTTCAGAGATAATTACTTTAAAAACAGGAATTGTTTTCATGCTCGTAAATACTATAACGCAGTTTTTAAATGAGTAAAGGATTTGAGTAGACATTTCTCCAAAGAAAATATACTCATAGCCAATACACACATTAAACATGTTCAGTACTCAACAGAGAAGTGCAAATAAAAACCACAGTGAAATACCACTTCACTCACACTCACGGGAGTGGCTATAATAAAAAAAATCAAAAATAACAAGTATTAGAAAGAATGTGGAGAAATCCAGAACATTTATACAATGCTGTTTGGAACACAGTTGGACTGCTTCTCAAAAAGTTAAATGCAGAATTGCCATTGGAGTCACAATTCCACCACTAGGTACACACCTAAGACCAGGGAAACAATATCCACAAGCAAACTTGCTCACAAGTTTTCATAGCAGCATTATTTATTTAAAAAGTGAAAACAGTGCAAATTTCCATTCACTGATGATCAATCAACAAAATAGTTTATATCCTTACAATAAAATATCAATTCAACATTTAAAAGGAATGTAATATATGCTACCACATGGGTGAATCTTAAAAATACTTTGCCAAATAAGTTAAACCAAACATAAAAAGACTACATATTATATGGTTTTATTTATAGGAAACATCCACAATAGGCAAGTCCACAGAGGGGAAAAATAGATTAGTGGTGAGCCAAGAGGTCAGAGAAAATAGAGGGACAGCTACTGGTCAGGGGGTTTCTGTCCAGGGAAACAAGGGTGTTCTAATGTAAGATTGCAGTGGTGATTACAGGACTCCAGAAATATACTTGAAGGGGGTGAAATACACGGCATGTGGGTTAAACCTCAGAGGTGTTGAAAATGAATTACTTCTCTACTGGAGTTTTTACATCACAGATTATTGATTAAAGACAAAGTTGACTTGGGAGAGAAAACCTGTTCCTGGACACTTGGACCACTGACTTTAGGACTTTATCTGGTCAGTTAGTGAGCATGTGCTGACCAGCATAAGTAGGTCAAACATCTGTCTTCCACTTAAAGTTCTTTAATTATCATTTACTTCTTCATCTCCAGGTTTAATTGCTTTTCCTCAATTCTTGTTCTTGCCTTCTTGTATAGATTAGGATTTAAAATGTTATTTTGGAAATTTCTGTGGTGTCACTGTAGAAATTCTCTTCTTTCGTTGATCTTATACTCTCACTTCCGTGCTCTCTGGGACCCATCTGCTCCTTCATTATGCTCCCCTTTGGTTCCTCTTTTCCTCCCCTTCCCACAGGGAATTGTTAAGGTTTTGTCTTCGCTGCTCCACATTTCTCTCCATACACTTGCCCTTTTCTTTATAAATTCCGCATCCATTTTTTCAGGCCCATAACATAGCCTAGGTGTCAAAGATATTTTTTTCTATAAACCTAATGGAAATTTTTAATTTTCTCATCCATGGTTATTTCAGTATTACAAAAAAAAAGTTAATACAGATATTTAGCCAACTTTTTAAAAGATATGCCAGAGATTATGCTAGCACGAAAAATAAATAAGTAAATAAGAAATTTTACTTGCCCATGAGATGTTATTAGTCCATTGGAGGTACAAAGGCAGACATGCAGATAAGTGCAGTGAAGTACTTTATGACAGCATTTTATACCTTCCGTTCATTTCCAGAGTCATATTACAGGACTGTATCCTGACAATAATATCCTTGCTGATCTGCTTATCTTAATCTCACCCTACTCTAAATTAATCTTCCAAAACCACTGCAAACCCATTTTCTGTTCACAAACTTTTAATGGCTCTCTATTGTTGAAGGATCAGGGACAAATTCCTCATCTTCGCATGGAAGACCCTTTACACACTGGCTAACTCTTCAGTCCTCTCCTCCCCACTCACCCCTCCCACCCACAACCTCTGCTGCAGTTTATCTGAGTCACTGACTTTTTGGCATGTCTTAAATGATTATGCTGTGCACTTTTGCTCAGAAAATTTTTCTTTCTTGACGTGATGATTGAGGCTATATTAGCTTTGGTAACACAAATATATGAATGGCTTAAGACAGCAAAAGCTCATCAGTCACTCATTTTTATAGTCCAGCACAGATCTTCTTCGGATGCTGGCTTTGACCCACATAATATTTCAATATCCAAGGGTTTTTTATTTTAGTTTTGTTTTTTTCTTTTTGTTTGTTTCTTTCTTTAGTGTATTCTCCCCTAGAACCCTTGAAGTTATCTGGATCCAGCAAGTCAATGGGAAAAGAATATGAAGGGTGGTCCATGGGATGTTTTTATGGACCCAGCCTAGAAGGGGCATACATCACTTTAATCTATATTCTAATGTCTAGAACTCAATCACATTGCCTGTCTAATTGCAAGAGAGTCTGAGAAAAGCTGCCCAGCTGTGAGCTCAGATGGAAGAGGAATTAGTTTTCCAAACACCCAGCAGTCTTTGCCATGCTACCCTCTTCATTACCCTCCATTGTGAGAATTTATTTATTCACCAAGGTCTGACCAAGTTCCTCTTCATCTTGGAAGCACTTCTTAACCACTTCAAATTGGAGTGAGAATTCCCTTTACTGAAGTTTTACAATACCTATTGTTTACTTTAAATTTGCCACTCACCATGTATTGCATGTTACTTTTCTTCTTGATTGTGCACATCATTTCATCCCCAGTGGAATCTTAAACCTGTGGAGGGTATAATTTGGGGATCAGTTATTTATTTAGTCATCCATTCAATATGGACTTAATGAAAGACTATTTATTATACGTAAGGCAGTATTTAGTACAATGGGGAATACAAAAAAATTATAAAAAGTCACTTCTGGACCCATATTGTCATATTTTAATTTTATTCAGAAGGTGTTGATGTAAGCAAATCCTCTGAGTCCTTTAAAACTATGGAGAAATTCATTTAAATGATCAACCCATACCATGAGACTTTAGTTCGTGGTAAGGATGATATCATATAAGTGAATAGAAACAACAAGTACTATTCTTCTCTTACCTTTGTACATTGATCAGCCATTGCTTATCCAAGTGGAGAAGGCCCTCCCTACTAATATAAAAAGACAAATTGTGGTCATGACTAAAAATATTCAAAGTCATGTTACCTCACCGGTTGAGTCACACTGTAAGACTGGAAATCTCTGAGAAGGTTACTGACATTCTACACAATACTTGATATTTCTGCACAATGCTCTGCACATCCATGAACAACACACATGCATCCAGCACTGAGATCTGAGAAAAAAGAAATGACTTCCAAATGAAGTGGAAAAGAAAAAGAGATTTAAACTTCTGCAGAAAGAATCTTGGTTAAATACGTGGGAGACCTTATTAAAATGAATTAACCTTCACATGGCTTATTATATCTTTTTTTTACCCACAGAAAATATTAGGTATGTTACAGTAAGCATGGATACGAGAAAACCAGGGGTTAAAATAAATAGCTGCTGGAAAGGTCCTCCCCACCTTCCAAAGCCTAAATCCAAAGGCTTAAGCTATTTTTGGTTTTCTTTCTCAGAAAGGAGCCTATACAATAAAAGTAAAAGCAGCTCTTTATTTCTTTTTTTTCTTTTTTCTCCGACTACTCTGAGATCTGTTTTTGCCACAACTTCATAAGTATTTCAATTACTTGTCCCCTCAACAATCCTACAGAGAAGCTCTGCCCCCATCCCCCCTTTTCCTAGATGAAGATATTGAGGTTAAGTGATTTTCTCAGGGTTACAAAGAGACCTAGCAGCAATGAAGGAATGAGAACTGGCCGTTCAACCTTCTGGTGGATGAATAGATTGAGTTTCTGAGCAGCTGCTATTATATTGCAAAGAGGCCACGTAGCTGCCTGGCTGAATGTGCAAAGAAACCGGGTCCTGGAAATGAAAGGGAGGCTTCAAGGACAGCATTTTCCTTCTTATTAATGACATAGTCAATTGTTTAAAGCTGGAAAGAAAGGCCCTTTAGAGAAAGCGCTTTTTACAAAGAGGACAAACAGCGGGGAACTCAATTTGGGACCCTGCCTCAATGAGACCCTTGTTGTCTATCTACTTACAGACAGCGCCGCTGAGGAAGCCGGGCTCCAGATTGGAGATGTGGTGCTGGCTATCAATGGCACCGAGGTCACCAGTGTGGAGCATGCAGAAGCGGTGCACCTTGCAAGGAAAGGTAGGTGGGCTAGCTCCAGAGCCTGCAGCTCGTCTAAAGAAGCAGAGAGCCGCAATTCACCAGGGAGTTTGAACAGGTGGAAGGGGCGACTGCACAATGGGTATAACTGCTTTTCTCTCCTGAAGCTCCCTTTAATACCTTGACATCAACATGACTTGTTGTAGGAATTCAATCACATTTCTACCCCACGTTCCTTCTGTATCGATGGCCAGCCACAGAGTGAAACCAGAAAATGGTAGTAAGCAAAATGTGCTTTATTTAATACCAAAATATTTCTTCAAAGTCCTTGTCATGAAAAATAGCATTGTAATGATATTTTCTTTACAAGAATTCTCTTTCATCTTTTCTGTTTTCTCGACCTCTCTCTGCTGCCTCTTTTTTCCTTTCTCTCTTTCTTTCTTCCTTTTTTTCTTTCTTTCCATCCATTCTTAAAGTTAAGAGACTTGGAGTTTTAATGTTAAAAAAAGAAGGAAAAAATTACTAGTTAAAACTCCTATGGATTCTCCTGGGGCCACAGGAAGCCTGCCCTTAAAGCAATTCTTCAGGGGATAGAACCATCACGAGAACAATAATACATGCTCTGTACCCCTGTGTCCATTCCCATTAAATTTTGTGGCAAAGCTAATACCATCTTCATCTCTGCAGAACAAGTTACTTCCATGGGACCATGTCACAAATACTCATCTCCCACAGACCTAAAAATATACATCATGGTGTTAACCTGGTGAGGTGTCCTATTCAGTGCCTCCCAAAAGCTGTGTGCATACCTCCCTGTCTCTGAAGCATATCATCAGGAAGTGGAACATTAAAATGTGTGCATCTGAGATAGGCCACAGGTGCTACTTGATGAGCGAAGGCATCACTTGCCATTTCTCATGATTTCATTAGGCTTGGGGGTTAGCGACAGTAACAGATTTATCTAGAACAGACCAGGACAAGAAAGTCACCAACAAATGTTGTGTACTGATAAGCTATTCTGGGCTTTTTTAAGGAAAGAATTTAGCTTAGTGTTTGGCTGCTCTGTAGGATTTATCATGTACTAGGTGCACCAGGAATCCAAGGATGCTATCAGTTAGCACCTGCACAACTTTTTATAAGTCCTAAGTGAATATTTACCCCATGTGCAGCACAGATGAGAAGTTAAGATAATATGGCAATGATACTACTGATGAATTGGAAGTATCTCATACAATATGGGAATTTCATCCCCTTACTTTGGGATTTACCTGTTCTTAGGTTCTTTAGGAAAATAATTATTTTCCCAATTTTTTGAGTTAAATAAAGCCTGATTTTAGTAATATTTGCACTTCTTTTATTTTCCCCCAAGAAGCTGAATATTCTTTATAAACACTGAACCATTCAGCCTCTCTATATTAGTTCATAGAAAGTAGAAAATATCTCTAAAACTTGAATAGAGGGCTTTCAGATTTCCAAAAGATGATGAACTAACATTGATACTGAGAGAAGAGCTAAACTTAATGCCCTCTCTTGTGCTGCTACTGGAAGCTATTTGCAGGATGGATTTCTCTGCTGCTATCATCTGGCTTCTGCCACACCTTGACCTCCTTTCCCCAAGAAAGGACACTGACTCTCAGGAAGCCTCCCTGTGTCTTTGCCAATCCTTCTCAAACCCAACAGTGGAGATGCCTTAGAAGCAGAAAAGCAAATTATAAATCTAAGGTTCTAAAGTGAGGACAATAAGAGACATCTGAGCAAACAATGCCATTGTAGAAGTCAGGAAGCGTGGGCTCTGCAGCCAGCAGCTGAAGAGGGCTAAGCACTCATATAGGGCATAGCTGAGACACCACTTTTTAGGGTTCTCCTCCCCCATCAAGGGCCAATTCCCCACCTCTGAAAGCCAGATAACAGCAGCCCCTGTCATGGACAGTCAGTGGGAAACATCAGTGTGGCCCTTCAGCACAGCTGGATTAGGAAAATGATTATTTCTTTCTCAGGCTTAATCTGTACATCCCTAAGACTAAGAAATAATAAAAAGAAAAAATTTCAAGTAAACAAAATAAAGAATAAACAAGGAAATAAAAATATTAGAATAGTTTTTAAAACAATACTTTGAACAACTATACTAAAACAAGTTGGAAAACTAGACAAATAAAACCATTTTTCAAAAGCATTTATGGGGCCAAAGTAAGTGCTAATATAAATAGAAAATCTGTACAGACCATAAAAAATATATTTATAAACAAAAAGACCATTTCACCTCTCCCTCATTTCCATCCTACTTTAATTACCATTCAAAAGCTCAGGATACTAGTCACTCTATAGATGAAATTTATCTTATTCTGTAGAGTTTTTTTCAGAAAATAGGAAAGAGTGAATGCTTCTCAACTATTTTATGAGACTACTATAACTTTGATTCTAGAACCAGATAAGTATAGGATATGTCCATACATAATGATGTCCATATGTATTAATATGTCCATTTTACTTAAGAAGTGTATAGATACATAAATTCTAAGAACAAATAGTAGATACCTCAATCAAGCCATTTATTCAAATTACATATAATACATTATAAACAAGTGGCATTTAATCCCTAAATAAAGATGGCTTATCATAAGAAAATATTTTAACATAATTCATCATATTTAATAGATTAAAGTCTAAATATGATTAGAGTCACATGACTCTCATCATAGGACAAAAAACATGTAATAAAGTTCAGCAAATATACATGTATGTATGTACATATTTAAAGTTCTCTAAATAGTGGGACTAGAAGGTTCATTCCATAACTTCATAAAGCCCATCTATCAAAAATCTAACCATGAAGAGAAAAGGTATATAAAAAATACAACAACAGCAACACATTTAATAGAGAAACTTTGGGCATACTTCTTTTGAGATTGAGAAGAATAATGTCAGTTTTAGCAACCTCTGTTTATCATAATATCAAACATCCTGACATCCAATAACACAAGAAAGAGAAATAAATGTGTATGGTCCAGAAGGAAAAAACAAAACCATTATTATTTTCAGATTATATAATCACAAAAACTCAGTAGACCAATGTTTAGAACCAATTAGAGAAATATTGACCAAGCCAAGTTCTTCTTATAAAAACAAAGAAGAGTAATATGTGAGTAGCAATAACAAAAAACTACAAGGTAGAAAAGAATTAACTTAACAAGGGATGCATAAGAACTTTATGAAAAAATATGTACAACTCAACCAAAGTGCATAAAAGAAGATATGAGTAACTAAAGGTGTATAATATCTTCATAGGTGGAAAAATATTGTAAAGATCTTAATTCTTCCAAAATTAATAATAACATTTTATTAAGAATAATTGAGTGGCTGGTCAAACTTATCCTAAAATAAGTGTGGAAGAGGAAATGTCTACAAATGGCCACATCATTTACAAATAGGGCAAGCAGTGGCGAAGGAACTTTTCATACCAGATATTTAGGTATATGACCAAACCATGATAATAATAAATAAAAAGTGGTATTGTCACAGAAATAGACCAGTGGGATGGAATAAATTAGAAAGCTTAGAAGGGCACTAAGTATTTATTAAAGCTTGACCTATGATAAATGTACCGCTACAAAACCATGGGGAAAGGACAAATATTTCTAGTACATCATTTCTATACTGAACTGTAAATCGTATGGATTTATACCTTCCTACATGATGCCTTATACTTTATACCATACAAAAGTGGACTTCAGATGTATTAAATACCACAATTTTTAAGTTACAAATATATTGTCAGTAAAATAAATTGTAGGAGAATAACTTTGTTAGTGACCAGAGAAATGCAAATTAACAACAAGATGACACTTTACATCCACCAGATTAGAAGGAAAAGTTATAAATCAGATGATAGCCTACTTTGGTAAGGATGTGAAGAAATAAGAATCCTGGTGCACTCTTCTCGGGCTATAAACATTTCAGAGAGCAATCTGCAACATCTGGTAAGTCCTTTGTCCTAGCAAATGGCACTTCTGGGTCTACACGCCCAAGGAGCTGTTGAGAGGACAAACACAGTGACATTCAATGCAACGTTCTGTGTGGCAGAGAATATTTAGGGGGACTCTGGGTAACCAATAATGAATATGTACTTGGACCTTTATGTCACATTTTGGAACAATAAAGGAGGTGTGCATTTAGCCAGCACCATGGATAGATCCTTTAAACAATGGTTTTGCATTAAAAAAAGGACAAATATGGATTGAGATATTAGCATAATATCATGTGTGTAAACTAAAAAATTACATGCATGAAAGGGTGTGCCAACAGTCCTATACCAAACATCTTCTATGAGTGCCTGTCCTGGGGAGTACAATGTGTGAGGAAAATCAGGAATAGGGGGAGAAAATGAAGTGAAACAAAACAAAACAAAAGGAAGCTGCCTTCTGAAGACAATTGTGTGCCATATCCTGAGTGTTCTGATGGGCTGGGCAGTCAGCACCTGAGGTCAAGAGCAACAGATGAGTAATACCTCCTGAACGGGGACCCAGCCACACACAATTTTAGCTCCTTATACATTCTGAAATGTTGTGGTCAGTCATTGTGAAGGATGGCAAAAACAAAAGACAAAACGGTGACAGCTGAGATACAGTGGGTCTGCAAGAAGAAGCTAAAAGAGAGAAAGAAGAAGGGGAAAATTAACAAGATTAAGTTAGTTTAATGTAGTGCTTTACACACACAATTTTGTTAGTAAGCCCATTAATTGGTCAGGGTGTTTCTGGAATGTACAGATTTTGAAACAAGCTCCTAAGTGTCCTTTTTGGGAAAGAAAGTCACCAACTTATATGAAGAAGGCAATAATCATGAAACAACTGATAGAGCCTTTTGTTAAATTCATCTGATGTACAGAGGTCGTGAAATACATATTTACGAAGTATCTAATAAGAACTTGTTTAAAAATCTAAATGTTTCCACTTGTCTTTTGTATCTGCCTAAACTTCTTAAAAGTCTAGCTAATATCAGTTTGACTGCTGGATATTTCTGTACGGTTTCATTCCCTTGTATTTTAAACTTCGGTAAAATTCTGTTATACTACTGGTTGCTACTTGCCTGATTTAGATTTATAAACATGAAATCACTTTCCTCAAAACATTTCATCTTAAATCTAACAGTATGTCAGACTCACCAGAAACACTCTTTTAAATACAGAATTCCTGGTGATGGCCTGCACATTTGTAATTTTAATCAGTCCTCCCTGGGGATTCTTTCACAGCCAGCTCAGCATCAGTGCACAGCCCAGCAGCGTGGAGGCGGGGCCCAAAGGTTACAGCCACAAGACTAGGAGTCTATTTTGTTAGCTTCCACTGCAGGTGTTAGCATATCTCCCTGGATTCGGGTTAGAAAGAGGATCCACCATATGTTACAAGGTCAAGTTTTCAATAAATCTATTGAAATAATAATTCCATTCAATAATAATAATAGAATAATATAGTAATATCGTATATGTTACAGAACATTGTTATATAACATAAAGATAATTGAACAATAATTCTATTAAAAATACTACTAGTCACACCCATCTGTACACATTACCTTAATTTTGCTGATGAGAAACCCAAAAGAAATTTAAGAAAGTATTCACACTGGGAATGACCATCATTCCATGTGAATCTTTATTTAACTAAGTCCCTCATACGTTCTATTTTGGGTTTTTATTGAGCTAGTTACTTGCAGGCTCAAGTAGAAGATTTAATCATCAAGGAAAAATGCTGAAAAGAAGCAAAGGAAAGGAAAACGATAAAACTTAATCAACCTGGAAGTCCTTTGAGCCTGTGAGGGCCCCTTTGCTTCACTCCGGCAGGCTTGACTAGAAACCAGACAGCAGGGCCAGCGGGGTCTCCGCCGCCGAACCAGTGCTGGTCCACCTCGTAGCCCCGAGGGCCGGCGCGCGTCTGGCACATTTTCCTCCCATGCCTGTGAGGGCCGTGGCGTTTGTCTGACAGCGGAGGTGCGACCCTGACACAGTTTAAGATTGGTGGCATAATGAGGAGACAGTGATCCGAGGAGAAAGTGTGAATTTGAAAAAGAAACCATTTTCCTCTCTGCTGTAGCTGTAAATAACCTCAGCCCAAACTCCTGACTTCCGAAATTCTAGGCCAAAGTGAGAGGGAATAAGAGTCTGCTGCCAGAGCCTCTCTTTTTAAGGACGTCATCACCTAAGAACCATGTTTGTTAAAGACGTGATTTTCAGATCCTCATCTAATGAAATGAATAGTTCTCTTGGCTCTTTCACCTCAAGCCATTAGCCTTCCCACAGCCTCCCACCCACCCACCCACTAGAAGCAAGCAAGATTTCTGGGATGGCCCACAGAGGAAGGCAGCGGTTGTGTGTGATTTTTCTCCAGGGTGAACAGAGACTTAGAGAAAGAAGGAAGGGGTGGAAAAACTAATAAGTTTGTGGTTGCTTAATACTGGGGCCGGAAATGCAAGCATACAGGGCAAATTAAATCACAATCAAAGAAAGAATGGAGCATGGTTGTTGGTAATAAAATTATGTTTATGAGCAGAGCATCTCAGCAACTGAGAGAAGCCTGGGGACTTGCTGCTCAAACTGTGGCCTGACATCACCCGAGAGCTTGCACAGATACAAAGTCTCAGGCCTCACCCCAGACTTGCTGAGTGAGGAGATGCATTGGGTGAGGAGCAGCTACGTTTAGTATGAGAAGCAGTGAACCAGGCCACTTCAATATGTGTAGGATCCCGATAAACTAATAGATAAATAATAACAAAACCAGGAGGTTTTCATTGTTTGTACATTGAGTTATTTCCATACACGAACACACACGTGCCACAATGACAATGCAAATAATCTAATGTGAAGATAACATCTAAAGCCTACAGTGTCTGCGAATGCCCAGGTGCTCCTGGCCCCCGATGGAACCTGCAAAGGGGGTAACACCACCATCACCCACCGGCTGTTGGGAACTCAGCAACTCCCTTTGCATCAGCATCACGTCCTGACTCTGAACATGAAAACCTTTCCTTTAGTACAATGACACCATGTGGCAGTAGGACCACCTTGTCCCTTGTCCCAGAGAGAATTCTCTGGTGCACCAAGCCCTGTGTATGACCAGCTGAAACTCCAGCTTAGCCTGGTCCATATCAGAGAAACCCACATGCAGTGTGTGTAAGCAAGAGGGACATGACCTCAAAGGGCGGGCCTCTTCAGCGGTACATAAATACGTCGGCAGATGTGTCAACTGCGGGAGTGCAGTTCTTTGAGGACTGAAGTCCAAAGACAAAGATGTTTGCGGTCGTCGGTCAATCTGGAGCACCGCTTCTCATTTTTCCTGGGATGTGTTTTTGACAGGAGCTTAAGGGCAGTTCAATAAATTAAAATGTATTTACATGGCAATGAAGAATTATCTTGACATACAGAGTTATTTAATTACCAAAGTGTTTTGCATGCTGCTAAAGTTAAGACTGTGTCAGCCTTTCTGGGACAAATCTTTATTTTCAAGGCCATGTGGCTTGGCCAGGAATGATCCCTTGGGTTGGAGCTTGTCATTCATGTAAGAGGAGTCTCCTCACTGACCCCCATTTCCATAGACAGCTCTAAACAGATTGGTAATCTCAATGTCAGACATTATGATGAAGTCAGCGCAGCCAAGGCCAAACGTCCCCCTTCAGGGAGGTGGCCTGCCTCTCAGAGGAATTGTAAATGAAGCCATACCCCATTTGCAGTCTTCAAAGCACCTCAGGGTTGCTGTCTCTCGGAATGACATTCAGAGAATTTTCTTGAGGCATCAAGAGGTAGGCTCATGATGCAAGTCTGTGTCCACACCAGCAGCATCAAAGCGCAGTTAGTAAACAGTGACCTCGTATTACCAGGAGCAGGGACAGTCTCCCCCGAGCTGTGCACCATACTGATCCCATAGGAAAGGAGGTCCAAGCTCCAAGGAAAGCTCTCTGAGAAGCAGAAGACGAGCACCTGGAAGTTCAGGGTCCAAACCTCAGCACTGATTTGGGTAGCAAGAAAAAAAGGATAAAAAATACTTGCCTCAGCTGTGCTAGAATTCCCAGCTACTTCCAAGGTCAAAGGTTTGTAATTGATTTTGATCAGAGATAATATTGGCAACACAATATATTAGCATTGGTTTAGATCCTCCCTTGGACCCAGGTCAAAGAGGCTCATTGAATAAAATTGAGATAGCAACAGAGGAGTGGGAGAAGGAGAAGGGGGGAGAAGGTACAGAAAATAAGTAGCATAGACAGTAGGTAGAAAATAGATAGGGGGAGGGTAAGAATAGTATGGGAAGTAGGGAATCTAAAGAACCTGAGATGCATGGTCATAAACTAGAGGGGGGGATGGTGGGGGCAGGGGTGTGCAGGGTGGAGGGGAATGAAGGGGGAAATAGAACAAATGTAATAGCATAATCAATAAAAGATCTTTTTAAAAATTAAAAAAAATAAAACTGAAAAAAATTTGAGATAGGAAAGCCAAACACCACCTATCTTCGTTCCTAGGGTATAAATCGAATTATGTTAAAGGTTTTCCTGGCATTATTATAGACAGAAAGAAAGAACAGACATGAGTGGTTCACAATCAGACCCAACGAGGCCAGGTGGCAGAACAGAGAGGATTCTGTGCCAGAAGTCAGGAAGCCTGGGTCCCCCTGATGCAAACCCTTATGAGCTGTGGGGCCCCCAAAGAGCCACTTTACATCCTCAGCTTTCATTTTCCTTGTCAACAGGAGGGGTCAAAGTACTAAAGAACCCTGGTTCACTCCAATGGTAGGATTCTCTTTCATGTTTTCCATTTATGAACACTATAACCTTTTTTTCATCCGCTTGTTTTTGAAAAGCAATAATCCTCCGGTCAATTAAAAGAGTCAGCCCCCAAATGATCCCCAATTCATCCCTCTAGGCCCGGACATCTTGACTCTGGTGGTGGGATCTGACATCAGCCGCTGCCCCAACACGCCGGGGCCCGCCTGCCGCGGCTACCTGCACAAGAGAACGCACTCGGGGTTCGTGAAGGGCTGGAGGAAGAGGTGGTTTGTGCTGAAGCATGACGGCTGCCTCCACTACTACAGACACAAGAAGGTAAGTTGAGGGGAGGTGGCGGGGTGGCAGTGCTTAAGAACAAGAAACATTTGGAAGTGCGGTCAGTCCATTAGCAAAGTACTGTCTTGCAAGGTAGTAGAATTCTGGAAACAGTTTTCCATTCTGTGACTTCTAAAGAAATTTTCCTTCTTCAGAGTTTCGGAGAACTGTAATTTATTTTCTCTGCAGCTGCATAAATGAAGGTTGGCATAAGTTTCTATCTCGTTTATTCCTATTTTCATTTATTCCTCCGTGAAAACGTCCTCATCAAAGCCAGGAAAATAAGAACCAAACCCCATATGAAGTACCCCAGAGAAATGAAGGTGGGCGAAGGCAAAATGCAGTGAACATCCCCCCGGACCGCAGTGCCCCGGCTCTGTTTCCTAGGTTACAGCAGCTGATGTCAGCAAGGCTTCTGAAGCAGAGCACCCGAGGAGCCGCCTGGAATACCCTGTTTCATTTCCCAGATTTCATCAGCTCAGTGGTTTCTAACTATAGGTAAAGGTTGGGATCTTCTGGGGAATCTTCTCAAATGATGCAAGCTCAGTCCTCCGCCCAGGTGTTTCTCATTCCGTAAGCCTGGCGTGGGGCCTGGGCCTGCAGGTCTGGGGAAAGCTCTTCAGGTGGCTGTGTGCGATCCAGACGACAACGGGAAGCCCTGTCTTGTCAGCAGAAGTGTTTTCTTAGCCCCAGGCAATACAGTGTTTAATGACTTTAATCTGATACAAACTTAAAATTCAGACACTTGACATAGCAATCCCCATTTCCAACTTCTCTTGAAAATTTTCTTAACAACATTTGGGGGAAGTTAATTAGTGACTCCCTGTTCCAGGGACCGTGTGAACTGCCCAGTTCGACCTGGCCCCCGCCGCTTCCTGCCGTCCCCACTCTGTTGGCTTCACTCCGGGCCACATGTTTGTGACCTGCTGTTAATAAGTGTTACGAACAGAAGTTTGGGTTGTTCATGGTACAATCTTATTATTTCTGCCTTTATTTTATATTGCCCTAGTTGATTAATATTAAGCTCCTTTTTGTGTGATATATATGTATATTTCTAATGATCTAATTCTTTTCTAGAACAAGGAAAGGAATATGTCAATATAGAAATCAATGTATTTTTTTAATGCGGAATCATTTTGCATATTGAATCACTGTGAAGACTGGCTCTTCCAAGATCATTAATCACTCATATGTGACATAGACTAGGAAGTGTCTGCCTGCCTTTCATGCCAATGCGAGCTGTGCAGCTACTTTGCAAAAACTTTGTCTCCCTCCAGTGCAGGAAAACAGGATTCTCTGTAATCAAGATGAGTTGATGGTCCAGCCTACTTCTCAGTACTCTGTGCATTAAAGTGGAACAGACCAGACATTTCCAATCTGAATATGCTTCAGAGGCCCCTGAAGAGTTTTACCGAAGTATACACGCAAACCCTCTCCTTCCCCCTGACCCCCAGGAGGGGTCCTGGAAACTGGGTGTTCTTTTTTAAGCTTTAAAGGCAGTTATGATAGAACTGATCTGTAACCTGAGTCTATTTCTATATAGCCAGAAGAAAAAAACAATAACACAAGCTTGCCAATTTTTCTTTCATGATTCTTTATCCCGAGATTGTGTTCCTTCTACCTTTTGGTGATAATTTTTGCTTCTTCTTATGATGTAGTGATATCAGTGGATGCTATCTTTTCTTTAATGGCCTCCTCAACAAACGAATACATGAAAGCACCCTTATGTCAAGCACCCCATATTTTAAACTTCCTGCCTGTTCCTGAAAGTAAGAATGGTTCCTGGCACCAGCGCCTCAGGTCTGGGTTCGCCAGGTGGCAATCCTGGGACTGTGCTGCCTGCAGATGTTATGTTTGGCTTGCACAGTGTTTTTATAAATTCTTTAATTAAATGCATTCAGGTGAAGCATGTGCTACCCGACCTGCCGTAATCCCTACTCCCCTCACCTGCTTACACTGAGCCTGGTCATTTAAATTACCCACTAGGCCCTGTGGGGATTTGAATTTACGAATCCTGGGGTAGAATTTATGGGAAAAATTAGTCATATGGTGGTATAGCAGTGGTAATTTAAATAGATTTTTAAAACTGCTTCTAGTCCTCCTTGGAAAAGAAATGTGGATCTTCTAGTAAGTTTTGACACAGCTAAGGAAAAACTCTTTTGAGTAACTCTAGTTGGGATCATCATCGCCCATGGTAAAATAGAAAAATACAGCTTTATTTTTGTTTATAAAGGGCCCAAATCAGATCCCTCTGGTGCTACAAATTCCAGAATACATTATGCCTGATCTTTAGAATAGATAGCAGTAACTGAGAAAGATTAATGGGGCATAATAAGAACATAACAGAATAAATTAGCAGAAAATTAACTCAGCCATACAGTGTTTATTCATGCAACAAATATGTATTGAGTGCTTTTTATGAGCCAGGCATTATGCTAAGTGCTGGGAACACACACATGCAAAGAAACAGACAGTGTGCCTGCCCTGTTTGTGCTTATGGTTCCACAGAAGAGACTGATCTCAGGAAATGGGCTCACAAATAAATATGCGATTATAGTTGGTACATACAAAAAATTACAGAATAGAAGAGACTTGTAGTGATCTGGATCCCACAGATGCAACCCTTAGTGATTTGAACAAGTGAAATCTAATGGAAAGTGTTATTAAACTGTAATAAAAGAACAACTACCTGCTGTAAGAAACTCTGTGGTACCAAGGGAGAGACCTGATCAGGGACAGGAAAAGGAAATCCCTCTCGAGAATGCAGATCTCCTTGGGAAATGTAGTTAAATCCCCCGGATGGCAGAGCAGCTCACTGGTTTGCTGGGTCAGAGCCAGGCTGCAGTCACAGGGCAGAGAAGAAGCAACACTTTGGAGCATGGATGAGACAAGTGAATTGAAAGCTGAAAGCTGGTGCATGGGTGTGGAGGAGGAGTGGGGATGCCTGCGTAGCAGGAGGCTGGGAGCACAAGCTGCCCTGTCTGGAAGGCCCTGTCTAGAAGATAGTGATGTGGGCAGACAAACCCAAGGGAGAGGGGAGGTGCACAGAGGAATCAGGGTCCCAGGGCTGGCAGGGATGTCCACATGGGAAGGGTCACAGGAAGGCGATCACCAGGCCACAATGGGGCTGCAAGGTCTCTAGGGACAGCATGTTCTGAGTGCATGGCTGGGACACAGCACCCCCAAATGTCCACAGGCCCACACTGCAGACTAACCTGGAACACCTGGAAACAGCAGGGGTTCCCCTTCCTCCTGAAATGTTCCTCTACCGCCCTCTACTGAGCTTAACACCACACTCACTGTGCAGGGCTCCATCCATTGTTGCAGAGCATATATTGAGGGGTGAATTGGAGCTCAGAAGCAATAAGTTGACAACTGGCACATGAGTAAAATGGAGGGTCTAGTATAAATTAGGAGAAGAAGAAGTCTTTGGTGGATTTCTTATTGAAGATATAACATTTCCACTGAGGCCTGGGCATTGAATAAAAGTTAGCCAGACAAAGTTGGGATGAGCATTCTCCAGGAAGAAGAGACAGCATGTGCGAAGTCCCTGTGCTGAAAAAAAAGCTTGGGAAGTGTAAGGAACTCAGAGAAGGCCCAGTGTGGCTAACTCGGAGTGTGTGGGGGAAGCAGGAAAGAAGACGGGGTGAGGCAACTCTGGGCCCTGGGCCATGACAGGATTCTTGGATGTTCTTCTAATTGCAGTAGAAAGCCACCCAACATATCTTAGTCAAGGGAATTTTCAAAACATGATTCTGACCATTATGTAAAGAAGAAACTGGGGGGATGAGTGGAATGAAAATACCAGCTAGAAAGCTAAGGCCATAGTGTAGGCAATGGGGAAAGTGGCCTGGACCAGGGTGGGGAGAATGAGGCTAAGAGAACAGACCTCCAGACACAGTTAAAAGCAGAGATCAGCAGGACTTAGCAACAGATTCAATGTGGTAAAGATGGAGAGATAATTGGCAATTAAGGAGGACTTTGAAGTTTCTAGCAAAAGTAACTTGTTGGATAAGGTATCATTTACTGAAAAGGGAGCAGATGATAAAGAGATAGGGTGAAGTGAGATTACTGGAAACTTTGGCAAGAGAAGTCTGGTCTTTATAGATTTGAGAAAGAAACAATTTTTTAATGTGAATTGGAAAAGTGTAAACAGTATTCAAAGACCACCAGTCAACACTTGCCTGTGAAAGACACTAAATTCCATCCATTATCAGGATCCCTTATAGTCTCTCTCTGTCATCTGCCATGTCTGCAATTTTGTGTCTGTTAGAAGGACAGGGCACTAATCCCAGCACTGAAGACTACCCTCAGTCCTTGTTGAGTGTTGGTTGTTTTGCTGTTCGCCCTAATCCCTGGGGTTATTCTTTAGGGCTCTAACTCAGAGCCTGACTGATGGGGTCAGAATTCTATGAGTCTGTTGAAAGCTCTGCTCAGTGTCTCAGCCTCTTCATATGGAAGTGACCCCATGCTGGGCTCATCTTCTACTGATTTTAGCCCCCGTGTTCTTCACTTACAACCCTCTGATGCATTCAGAGGAGACCTTCACATATACATCAGCTTTTCTATTTCTATTGGTAATAGAGTTGACCCTAATTAACCAGTCTGCCATTACCAAAAGTACAATTCCAATGTCAGCAGAAAAGAAAGGGGGCAGGAGGACAGTGTTGTTCTTTGTTATTGTTTTTAAGGTGTAAGGTACCAGTTTAAGTTTGAATGCTGTTGAGAGTAGAATCAAGCAGGAAGAAAATGTTAAAGATACAGAAAAAGATGAATAATTAGTAGGTACATAAGCCATCTTTCCTAAAAGTTGGGTATATCCAGCTCATAAGTACCAGCAGAGAAATTGAACTTTATGAAGGATAAGACTGAATGTTCTGCCAGGTTAAAAACAAAGGGAAATATTCTCAATATATTATAGCAGAACAAGCCAGTTTTTGTTTTGTTCTGTGACTCTGTGTATGAAAGAACCCAAATGTGGGTGTGTGTGGGAGAGGCAG